TTGCGGAGCACAGCCCTCCCATTGGTCTTTCCAGTGCAGCAAAACGGACGAATTTTGCAGCGGATAGTAATAAAATGTAGATCTAGTAAACATTAAGCACATCTCGTGAATTTAACTCGTCACTGATATGCGAAGCCTTTATTGGGAAATATCAATTATCTCTCGCGACTCGCGGGCCGTGGGCATAGACTTCAAATTGATCAAAAGCCGATATTTAATCAATTTTTGCTCCTTCATTGTTTTGAATTCTCAATCAATCTAGCATTTTATTCTTGTTCACTCCTCTATCACCCCCCCCCTCCCCCGCTCACCATTCCACCCACTTTCTTTTCATCCCTTCAGTGGCTGTTTCTTGGATTTTATTGTCCTCTCACTTTTCTTAGTTCCTGGTTTCACATTCAATTTTCATTCCTTCCTTTCGCTATTTCTTGTTTTCCCTTTTAGCTTTTTACACAGTGTTCGTCATTTAGAGTGCTTATAGGGTTTTCATGGGATTGTCCTTATGGACACTTGAACTTCCCTGGTGAGTTCTTAAAACACCATTCTTTTGGGGGACATTCGAGTAGAATATTTTAACACTGGACTCTCTATTTCTGGCCGCTGTGATGCAGTAGGTTTCCAGCCTGTTCTGCAGAGGGAAGTTCAAAGTGGAAATTAAACAATCTTTTCGTCGTTCTCAGAATATTTGTAGCCAACTCGGTGCCCCGACGAGTGTCAAGTATGTACTGTACTGTGTGTCCTTAAATTGCCTTCTTTAGTAGGAGAGCACCCCCCCCCCCCAATTAAAAAAACCCAACATCACCACAAAAAACCTGAGTCACATACATTTACATTTTGACATTGATGGAGCTTGTTTTGTTGGAGCTTGGTCCTCCTGCAATATCCTGGTTCTTTCGGCAAGTCTGCCTGTCCATTGCCAGCAGCACCGATGTAATGGTATCGTTCTATGGATAAGGGCGTATAGCCTAGCAACCAAGTAGCAGAGCTAATTGTTTAGATGGTTCCTCAGACTTGGATTACTGTAATGTTTGTTGGAAGTCTGTCAACTAATGATGGACACATATTTTGTTACTACATTGTATGCATTGTATGTCATGTCAGCATTTGTAGAAAAAGCTGAGGCTTACAATTTAAAAAAAAATTGTTTTCGAAAGGTCTTGAGCCAGTTTTATCAGGAGTTTTTTTTCTCCATAGCTTACCTCTATTTTTTTTCGTCAGCTGAAGCGTCTTTAAATTGTAGTATCGAAAGGTGAAGTGGTTACGCTGCTGGGCTTGCAACCTTGCAGTGACATGCTCAAAACCTGTTCTTGGTCCCGTTACCTCGTTCTTGGTAAAACATTAATTTTTTCACACATTTTCCCACTTCAAACATGAGATAATGGACTCGGCAGGGACAGTGGGATGTCTTGTCAGTACATTATATTATTTTAGTATTTTTGCGCCTGTAAAATGGCTGTCGACTGCTTCTAAAAAAGCTGCGTTAAAGGCTCTGCCAGGGTAAAATAATAATTATTATGTTGCCAATCGCATGGTCCAGTGTCGAGACGTCTTATGTAGTCTGTCAAAATGATTTTTTTGAGAAATACTGAAAGTTTCAAAGAGATATACGAACTAGAAATAATCTAAAATGTGAAGAATACAACCCCTGGGGTACAAAATGACCCCAGGCGTACGGATGGGGTTAAAAAAAGTGTCCTCAGAATTCGGTGGCGCCCTCTTCGAAAAAGCGCGAGCTTTGCGAACAGAGTTACCCTACTTGTGTGAAAAACAATAAAAGTGAAACTAACAAACTGCTATTCCTATTCTTCTGGAGAAACGAAAGAGAGCTTCAAAACAAGGACTGCAGCGTCATCTGAAACAATGAGGGTACTTCCGTGGACACTTTTTTGGCTGAATGAACAATCTTGTTATGTACGATCTTTAGTACATGACAGTGTTTCTTAGGCGTTCTTGTTTGATTCCTGTCTATTGTACTTGTTCAAATAATCACACATTCTTACTCTTACACATACACACACACACACACACACACACAA